TGGGTTTGAACCTGCCACCTCTGGCATATGGGCCAGCACCCTAACCTTTTGAGCCATAGGTGCTGCCCATCTGAGGCTCATTTTTAACATGCTAGTGTTCTTTGTTACAACTGCCCCATACTTCTCCTTTCTCAAATCCCTCCTTTTGTTCTCTCACAGATACTCCATGTTTACAAATTATCTCCTCTCCTTCCAGGTCAAAATTCCATTGCCTATTCATATAATAGAAGTCACTACTGAATTATAGGTGATCTAACCCTCCAGATACTTGTACTTACCAAAAAAAGAAAAAAGATCTTTTCTCCAAGCATTTTCTCCGAGGTTCTAACGTGAGCATTGTGCTGTTTTAAAATTCAAAGTTTTGATGTGCTTCAGCTTTTGTTTTGCATGTGCAGGCGGTGGTCGGTATGTTCCAGGCTCTTCAGCGTCTTCTAACTCACTGCCTACAGCAGATCCTTTTACAGGTGAGATGCAGTTTACTAATATATCTTTCTTCACTAAATACATAGCACTTTGCATTATGTGGCTTTACATTTTAGATGTCATCCAGTCTCACAATTCCCTTATCTGTATTTCCAATTTTGACAGGTCTACTTTTCTTTAACTTCAAATTTTGCCTTTTCCCAGAGTAATTTTATAGATTTCTTCATAACTTTTAAATGGCATATTATTGGAACTCATCATTTTTCCAGTGGTCCTTCCCACTAACTTAAAACTTAGTTAACATAAGTTTTAGAGTCAGACAAACCTTGGTTCAAAGTCTGGTAGCATTTACTTGCTATGAGAAGATGACACATTACTTAACTTGTCCGAGCCTATTTTATTATCTGTGAAATTAGATAATAGGGGAACCTACCAACCAAGACGCAGCATGAGTGCTGTCAACTGGAGAGATGCTATCAGTCACAAGCAGAGGAGGAGCCATGTGAGTCTGATATTGGATGGAGCAGTATAAACAAGAAGTCTGCCCAGGCATTTTGACTTAGCCTGGAAGGAAACATTCCATCCAGCTTCTCAGGATTGGTCTTCCTAATCTTGGGTTATTAATGGCCTTCTCAAAGCCCTTGAAGTATTGGTGCATCTCTTCAAGGTGAATTTATTTGTCAAGATATACATCCCTCAGTATAAACACTACTGGAAAAAAAATCCCAGACTTTAACTTGAAGAAGTCTCTGTTTTCCAAAGGACTTTTGGTATCTTTTATGATACTGTTGTTGGAGCTTTAGCAAGAGTTTCTCAAAAATACCAAGGGAAGAGATTATTAGCCATTAGGTATTCCCTGGCCTTGCAGACTTAATATAGTAAGATGACAATTAGTCCTCTCTCAGCCACAGATTGTACAAATACACAACCTTAGTTCAGTGTCATGAAGTTGTGAATTGTTACGAGTGAGCTTCCTATGAATGAACTGGTTGTACCCTATGCATATATAAGTAGTATACTAAAATAATCAACTATCAAGGTAAATGCTACAGTAGAAGTTAAGGAAGTGGTAGAATTATGGTATTAGGATAACTGAACTTACACTTTTATAAAAAATAGATAATAGCATCTGCCATATTGAGATATGAAAATTAAATGGCATAATACATGTAAAGTGTCTACCAAAATGTGTGGAGTATATTTAAGCCTTCAGTGCATATTAGTTACTATTCTTGATGTTGTTTCTTCAACTTCGTCAGTAGCACTAGGGCCAAAATATTTCCCCATCTGGCTGTAACTGTAGGTCAACCTTAGTTTTCTTTTTCTTTTCTTAGTTATTTATGGAGTTCTTAATCTTCTGATGTCTATTAGAATGGTCTAAGAAGCATGTTTAAATTACTTATCCCAAGGTTTTACCCCTAGAGCTTCTGATTCACTAAGATTAGTGAGAAGGTTTACTCATGTCCTTGATCCGTTACCTAAGGATTTTGATTAAATGGCCTTGGTTGTGGTTTGCTCTTAGATTTTTTAAAAAAGTTCCTCATGTGCTTCTAAAGTGGAGCCAGTGTAGAGTACCAATAGGTTAACAGATGAACTTTGAGAATCTGCATGTTGAATAGGTGACTCTTAATTCCAGTGGTCAGAAAACCATATTTAGAAAAGTGTAATACTACAGTTTTCCCTAATAGCTTAATGCCTTGAGCAAGTTATTCAACCTTTCTGTTCTAAAATATTGTTAATTACAACGGTATCTACTTAATACTTTAGTGAGTATATGCATAGAACATGCTTAGCCTAGCAGTATAGTTAAAACTCAACAATTTCACTTTTCTGTTTTTCCTTACTTTAATTGATATTTACTTTCAAATTTATTATATATATGTATATTTTAGTTTTGCTTTTTAGTTCTGTTTCCCTTTTCTGTATGTATTTCACTGGTTATACCAATTCCCGGATTATAAACTCAAAATGGCTGGAACAGTAGCCTCTTCCCACAAAGGCTGATCCAGGGCTCTGAACATCTCTAAAACCTACTGATTTCTCCACACTTCTTTACATGCTTCCTTCTTTGCATTTTCACCAAGATGGCCCTAAGTATTATCTCAAAGTGACAGGGCTGTTGTCACAGTATTTCTTACTGTTACCTAAGTCTTTTCTGATTGTCTGATATGCTAGCTAGTTCTAGCCCTTTATTTCAGTAGAATAGTGTTCACATTTTATTTTGGAACCCTTTCTCCCAGTCCACTTACATGTTTTTCTAATTGTCTGTAATTATAATATGTAAGGCATCTAATATTTACTTTGTAGCTTAAAAATTACTTTTTTTAGCTCACAGTTATTGGTTACTTATTACATGCCCAGACACTGGTCTAAATATTTTTCTGTATTAAATTGATTGCACATTTATTATGTATGTAAAGATGCTCTTCTGAAGTGTGCCTCATAACAGAAAGAAGTTATTCTGGGCAAAGGAAGAGTAGTGTGAACTTCATAATCTGCAGTTAATTTTGTTTATTAAGAGTATTATTGCATTGTAGGTGCTGGTCGTTATGTGCCAAGTTCTACAAGTTTGGGAACTACTACAGCTGGAGTTGATCCATTTACAGGTATGTGTTTTTTCCATTTCCTTTTCCTTTGTTTAGATTTTTTCAATTTGTTGAAACCTTTATCTAATAGTAAGTGTGGAAATTTAGTTATTTTATTACTTGAGAACTTTTTTTTTTTTTTTTCAGTTTTTGGCCGGGGCTGGGTTTGAACCCACTACCTCCGGCATATAGGGCCAGCGCCCTACTCCTTTGAGCCATAGGCGCCACCCTACCCTACTTGAGAACTTTTTATATAGTAAATCAAGACCAAACTTCTTCGGTGGCTTTTAGAGTGTTCTCAGAATTGTCTTATTATTGCACATTAGAGTCATCCGGGAGCTTTAAAAACGTACCTCAGCCTCATCCCCACCCCGATCCTCACTTGATCTAATACTGTTCTGGGTTGGGGTCTTGGCAAGGATAGTTTTGTCAACTTCCAGTGTGATTCTAATATGCATCTGGGATTAAAAACTATTGTTTTACTATACTGAGGCTGGTTTCCTTGCTACCTTTACAAAAAAAATTTATTCCTCCCTTTATTTTATTTCATGTGTTGAGAATGTTATTCACTGGATTATACATTATTGTCTTTAAGAAGAGTAAGTGCATGGTAAAGTGTGCCTGTAGTGATTCCACCTGCGAGTAGCCATTGCATTCCAGACTGGGCAAAAATGGAGACCTAACTCCTTTAAAAAAAAAAGAGAGAGCTGCGAGGACCGTGGCTAATGCCCATAATCCTAGCACTCTGGGAGGCTGAGGCAGGTGGATTGCCTGAGCTCAGGAGATGAAGAGCAGCCTGAGCAACAGCAAGACCCTTTCTCTTAAAAAAAAAAAAATGCCTGGCATTGTGGGGGGTGTCTGTAGTCCCAGCTACTTGGGAGGCTGAGGTGAGAGAATTGCTTAATGCCATGACACTCTACCCAGGGTGAGAAAGTGAGACCTTGTCTGCAAAAACAAAAAAAAAGGAGAGAGAGAATCAGAACAGAATTCAACTTTTATGTTTTAGGCCTGGAATAGTTGGCCTTCTCCTGAGCATCAATTTTTTTTTTTTTTAATATCCTTAGTATAGTAGCCTATAGACTGACATACCTTATTTGTTGAATAGATGCAGGCATGTTTTCTTCTCTATTGCCAGTAAAACACAGAGCTAAATTTGTGGTTCATCTTTTACATGTGTGATAAATTATCTTTCTCTTTTTTCCCCCTTGAGACACAGTCTCAGTCTGTGCCCTGGCATCTTAGCTCACACTAGCCTCAAACTCTTGGGCTCAGGTGATTCCCTTGCCTCAGCCTCCTGAGTAACTGAGACTATAGGTTCCTGCCACAATGGTTGACAATAGGTTCTCTGTTTCTTTTTTCTTTATTAGATCATAACTATGAACATTTATGGGGTACAGTGTGCTGATTTGATATACAGTGTGAAATGCTTACATCAAACTGATTGACATAAACATCACCTCACTTACTTGTTGTGGTCAGACATTTATACTCTACTCATAATAGATTTGAAATGACAAGGTCTCATTCTTGCTCAGGCTAGAAATTGCTGAGCTTAAGTGATCCCCCTGCCTCAAACTCCCAGAGTGTTGGGATTATGGTTGTGAGCTACCATGCGTGGCCACATAGAGCTCTTAACATATATTTTTCTCTATTTTATTATTATTTTATGTTTAATGTAATATATACAAGAGAATTTGAGTAACATGTTATTCAGCATCATCAAATAAACACCAAACACTATTCAGCTTACTACCCTACTCTTTTTTTGTTTGTTTTTGGAGACAGGGTCTCCCTCTCGTGCCTAGGCTAGAGTACCATATAGCTAACTGCAGCCTCAATCTCCTAAGCTTTAGTGATCTTCCTGCCTCAGCTTCCAAGAAGCTAGAATTATAGTGTGTGCCACCACACCTGGCTAATTTTTGTATTTTTTGGAGATAGGCTCTTGCTGTGTTGCCTAAGCTTGTCTGTAACTCCTGGCCTCATGTGATCCTCCCACTTTGTCTTCCTAAAGTGCCAGGATTACAGGCATGAGCAACTGTGCCCTGCCTATCACCATTGTACTTAAGGACTAACTTGATATGTGGGTTTTTTTTTTTTTTTTTGGAGACAGAGTCATTACATCACCCTCGGTAGAATGCTATGACATCACAGCTCACAGCAACCTCTTGGGCTTGAGTGATTCTCTTGCCTCAGCCTCCCAAGTAGCGGCAGGTGCTGAGTCATTGACCCGTGGTTTTTATAAGCTATTTTCAATTGCAAAAGTAACATTTGTTAACAATATTGAAGTATAACATGTAGCAATGTTTTTTTACATTTTAGTCTGTTTATGTACCCCCCTTGATTAAAAATCCTTCCACAGATTCCCACAGAGTATTTTCTTTTTCCTTGCTTCACATTTTTCTCTGCATTTGATCTGTCCAGCCATACTGGCCTGTTTCAATTTCTTATGTATGCTGTGTTCTTTTTCTGCCTTGGGAGCTTTAAACCTACTGTTCTCTTTTGGGATACTTGCCTTTTGTTATTTAAACGGAAAATTATTGATTGTTCCCCTATTTTAAATTTAATATTATAGCCCAGTGAATTAAGTGAAACTTTTCTAAAAACTCACATCCTTTGCTAGATCACCCACTCTCATTTTGCCCTACACTTTTCCCTTCAGCAAATTGTGCATTGTACCTAATTGTTTGGATGATACCTTATTAACATGTCAACTTTCTTTACCACAATTAGACTGTAATACTGTAATGAGTATGGGCAGTATCTGTATATGTCAGTTTTGATCATGTCAAGAACATTTTATGCTTTATAAACACAATTAATTACATATACTTCTTGTTTCATCTTTATTTACCTTCACCTTTTCTCGGCAATATACTTAAATATTAAAATAAATCTTTTATTAGTATTTTTGCAAAACACCTTAATTTTATGTTAGGATAAAAATAGAGTTAAAATTAATTAAGATTTAAACTGTAGGTTTGGCTGGGTACAGTGGCTCATGCTTGTAATCCTAGCAGTCTGGGAGGCTGACACAGATGGATTGCTTGAGCTCAGGAGTTTGAGACCAGCCTAAGCAAAAGTGAGACCCCATCTCTACTAAAAACAGAAAAACTAGCATTGTGGTGGGCGCCTATAGTCCCAGCTACCTGGAGGCTGAGGCAACAGGATTGCTCAAGCCCAAGAGTTTGAGGTTGCTGTGATGTCACAGCACTTTACCGAAGGCAAAAGTGTGTGACTCTGTCTCAAAATATAAAATAAAATAATAAAATAAATACTATAGGTTAGATTTACATCACGCTTGAGTTGAAAATGAGTATTGCTGAATTTTCATCAAATGCTGTTTTTTTGTTTATTACCACATATTGAGTTTTGGTTATTATAATACATTAGATGTAAAAAGTATAAAAGATTAAGTCCCTTGCCCTTCAGGAATTTACAACTTGATGGGATTTATAAAGATGATGTAGAAAATGATTAGAGAAAGTATCAAAGCCTCCTATATCATTTGGAAGAAGCAATAAAAAACATAAGATGGAGAGATCAATATGCTTTAGAGAAGATGGGAAGGGGAAATTTCACAATTATATTCTTTAATTTTAAAAATTTATAATTTAGATTGAATCTTAAAAACAGAAAAGTAGAAAATAGGAGATGGAAAGGACTTGTTCTACATTTAAGTTTCCATCCCTGTGACTCAAATTATTATATCAATGAATATACCTTGGCTGGACGTGGTGGCATATGTCTGTAATCACAGCATTTTGGGAGGTTATGGTGGGAGAATACTTGAGGCCAAGAGTTCAAAAAACCAGCTTGGGCAAGATAGCAAGACCCTGTTTTTCCAAAAACAACAATCTAAAAGAGAAACATACAAAGTCTTAGGGTATTTCTGTGCCCCCCCCAAGGTTGCTTGTTATTATATTGCATGCACTGAGTAGTCACAATTTCAGTAATTGTGAAAACAAAGTCATACGATTGAAAAAAATCTCATTTTGTTCATTTATGATTTTCATTTTCTAATCCATAAATAGGGAATAGTGCCTACCGATCAGCTACATCTAAAACAGTGAATATTTATTTCCCTAAAAAAGAGGCTGTTACTTTTGACCAAGCAAATCCTACACAAATATTAGGTAAGTCTGTTTAATTAATTTTCTCATATATTGAAAGACTGAGATATTCTCAGGGCTTTATCTTCCTGTTGTGTCAGGAACTGGGTACCTACTATAAATAGAGATTCCTACTGTGGTATTAAATACCTCTGTCAGCTACAAATATACAGTCTGGTAATGGATCCTTAATACTTTGTAAGAAGTATTATACAGGGTAGAGTTGGAGAACCTTCTCTTTAAGTATCACAAGGATAGAAAAGCAAGTATCCATTGTATTCAGTGGTAACATAAAGCCAGTAGACAAACTAATACACACACACACACGAAAAAAACTCAGTTTAATTCAGGTTGGGGAAGGGAGAAGCAAGGAGAGAGGGAGATTGATGTGTTCTCACCTAATGGGCACAACAATATAAGGGTCTTTGACACACCTCCTAGGTGAAAGGCACAACTACAACTGGGACCTTACCTAACAAATGCACAAATTGTGATCTTATTTGTTCCCTCATATTAATCTGAAATAAAAAAAGAAGTCTTATACAAATAAAAGGTAAATGCTTTATGATGACTTTGAGAAGAAAACTAAAGGGGGAAAATGTAAATTTAACTTCTCTAAGTGCTAATTGTTTGTTTTTAGAAAAACAAATTAATGAAAATGAATGAGTAAAACATTTGAAAAATAACGATAAAGATGTTACCTTTAGGCCTGGCATGATGGCTCACGTCTATAATCCTAGCGCTCTGGGAGGCCAAAGCGGGTAAAGTGCCTAAATTCAGAGGTTCAAGACCAGCCTGAGCAAGTGCAAGACCCTGTCTCTAAAAAATAGCCAGGCATTGTAGCAGGCACCTGTACTAGGGAGTTGAGGCGAGAGAATCCCTTGAGCCCAAGAGTTTGAGGTTGCTGTGAGCTGTGGTTCTATGGTTCTCTACTGAGAGTGACAAACTAAGACTCTGCGCCTCAAAAAAAAAAAAAAAATTAAAGATCTTACCTTTAAAATAATCAATAACCCTTAGAAATAATGAAGGGCTATTTTAAATTGCCCATTAAAAATAAAACTGTTGGGTGGAACCTGTGGCTCAGTTGGTAGGGTGCCAGCCCCATATACAGAGGGGGGTGGGTTCAAACCCAGCCCTGGCCAAACCGCAAAAAAAAAATAGTAGGGCATTGTGGCGGGCGCCTGTAGTCCCAGCTACTCAGCAGGCTGAGGCAAGAGTTGGAGGTTGCAATGAGCTGTGATGCCGTGGCACTCTTCTGAGTGTGATAAAGTGAGACTCTGTCTCTACAAAAAAAAAAACAACCCAGGAACTGTTTTATTGACTTTGATTGTTTTTCCATTAATTTGCAATTCTCAAAATGACCAGGGTTTTTTGGACCAAGAGAACTTCTAGCTGTTTGCCACAAAGATCATGGTGACAATTAATTGAGATATTATAGAATACATACCTGAGGATAAGGCAGGGCTTTTTTGGTCAGTATTATCATTCATATTATCTTCATAGAAATCACTCATATTTCTTAATTGCCTTACTTGGAACAATAAAGACGTTTATGCACAATTTTAGACATTGTTAAATTCATTATATAAATCTAAGGTTTCTTGATTTTTGCATTCATTTATCAACTTAGTTTTTCATAGTTTATTAGTGTTAATTTTTAATGATGAAGTAGTGAAACAAGTCCAAGTTTACATCTGTGATTGATTAAAATTGTATATTCAGAGAACTTCTTAAATCTTTGGGATGAGAATTTGGAGGTTTTTTGTTTGTTTTATTTTTTTGCTGGAGATAAAGTTTATTTTTGAAGCAACACAATAACTCAAAGTAGTATTAGTGATGACAAAGACACTGATATTGAAGATACAGAAATTATTAGTTGGTTTTTTTTCATAGATAGCAGTAGAAATTTACATTAATTAAGTAAAATGTCATAAATTTTCTCATTCTGGAAAATAGATTGAATTATACTGGAGTATATATGATGTATGATATTACTTGGAAACTATTCAAAATTATCATAAATATGATATACTTTAGAACTTTATTCAAAGCAGAAAGTTTCAGAAGGATTTAGAAAATAGAAAGTAAAATAAAAATAATCATAGTAACTTTTCTACATTGTGCTTAGCTTAAAAATACTCACAAGCCTTTTCCTTATTTTGTAATTTTTGATAATTGCTAAGAAAAGTCTATTTCTCATGGCATACAGGAGAGTAAATTTTTTAAATCTTACTGAAAAATTTGGCATTTATGAATTACCTGGCTAATTACTGTTAGGAAATTTTGAAGGTTTGGTGTTGGGTTCTAGGTAAACTGAAGGAACTTAATGGAACTGCACCTGATGAGAAGAAGTTAACTGAAGATGACTTGATACTTCTTGAAAAGATACTGTCTCTAATATGTAATAGTTCTTCAGAAAAACCCACAGCCCAGCAACTGCAGATTTTGTGGAAAGCTATTAACTGGCCAGAAGGTAAATAAAGACTGTTCAAAATGTAACTAAAAAGCAGGAAGTTTATTTTCATTTCTCTCAATATTATTGGTGTTTCTAGGTTAAATAAAAATTATCCTGGGTAGCTCTAATTCATTGTGAAGAACTTTACACTCATTTAGCCATTATAATTCATAATCTTATTTTGGTCACATGCCTTATGAGAATCTAAAGGTAATAGAATTATCCCTGTAGACTTGTACCAGTTTGTATAATGTTTTGGAGCATTTGTGGATCCCCTATATGCGAGAATCTCTTTGTGACTTGTTAATCCTAGGCTATAAACACTTGCTTTAAGTATTTTTTTTCTAGTTATGTAGTTGCACTTTTTTCATTTCTCAAAAATGTCCCCTCCCCATTATTTTTTCATACCATTCATTTATTGAAGAAAATTTTAATTTTCTACAAAATATCCCACATTGTGGATTTGGCTTATTACTTATCAAGAAATGTCTGTGGCCAGGCACGGTGGTTCACACCTGTAATCCCAGCACTCCGGAAGGCTGAGGTGCGTGGATCACCTTAGCTTACTAGCCTGAGACTGAGACCCCTACTGCTAAAAATAGCCGGGTTCAAGACTAGCTTGAGACAGATACCCCACCTCTAAAAATAGCCGGGTGTTGTGGCAGGCACCTGTAGTCCCAGCTACCCAGGAGGCTGAGGCTAGACAATCACTTGAGCCCAAAAGTTTGAGGTTGCTATGAGCTGTGACACCACGATACTCTATTGGGGGAGGGGTGGGGTGTGTGGCAACAAAGTAAGACTCTGTCTCAAAAATACATACATACATACATACATACATAAAATGTGATATCTTGTGTTTTTAAAAAGTCTGTATTTCTTGTTACAATTTATTACAGATTCTGTTTCAGTAGTTGTTTTCGGGTGACGATCCTTTATAAATGGTGCTGTGTACTGTCTTTAGTTTTCCTTACTGTCAAGTTTTCCTTACCATTAGTGACGCTAAAATTGTCTAGTGCATTCATTCAGATGGTATCTGCAGATGGTAACTGCCCTGACCTTTGATTTTAAAGCTCCCAACAACCTATAAGCATTCTATCAGCATTTGTTAACTGGAATTCTTATTTAAAGAACTTTCTCTGTTCAACTCTTTGGTCTTATTACAGGATTTTTAATATTTAACAGCAAGGGCCTCACCCCATTCGTTCACTTAATTATTGAATACTCACTTTGTGTCAGGCTGTTTTATTACTTGAGAGTTACCTTATTTTTAAAGCCTATAGTATAGCAATAAGTCCTGTCTGTATAAATATGAAAGATAAATATAAATTTCAGAAATGCCTACATTTTCTAAAGGAGGCACATGATTTTTCATGTTATCTTGTATTAATTTTATAGTGGGAAAATAAATTCTTATAAATTGAATGCTAGTCAAAAGGAATTTTCTAGATTTTTATAAACATTAATGAATTTTTCTTTTTAATAGATATTGTCTTTCCTGCACTTGACATTCTTCGGTTGTCAATCAAACATCCCAATGTGAATGAGAACTTCTGCAATGAAAAGGAAGGAGCTCAGCTCAGCAGTCACCTTATCAATCTTCTGAACCCTAAAGGAAAGCCAGCAAACCAGCTGCTTGCTCTCAGGACTTTTTGCAATTGTTTTGCTGGCCAGGCAGGACAAAAGCTAATGATGTCCCAGAGGGAATCATTGATATCCCATGCAATAGAACTGAAATCAGCAAGCAATAAGAACATTCACATTGCTCTGGCTACCTTGACCCTGAACTATTCTGTTTGTTTTCATAAAGACCATAACATTGAAGGGAAAGCTCAATGTTTGTCCGTAATTAGCACAATCTTGGAAGTTGTACAAGACCTAGAAGCCACTTTTAGACTTCTTGTGGCTCTTGGGACACTTATCAGTGACGATTCAAATGCTGTACAATTGGCCAAGTCTTTAGGTGTTGATTCTCAAATAAAAAAGTATGCCTCAGTATCAGAACCAGCTAAAGTAAGTGAATGTTGTAGACTTATCCTAAATTTGCTGTAACAGTGGGGAAGTGGGCCTGAGATTTTAGATTAATTAGTGTCTTTTTCCTCACATTTTACATGGCTGACAACAGATGATTAAAAAAAAAAAAAAGAAAGAATACTGTGGATTAAGTAAAATTTCAGATCTTGTAAATTGGTGGGAAGGGAACCAAATAAAATTTTTGCACTGATGAACTGTGAGATTTTCCTGTGTAATATGGGTAAGTTTTCAAGAGTATAGAAGGATATTTAAACAGAGCTGCAATCAACAACACGACGACAGTGGCATTTCTACCTTACCTTAGCCACTAAGAAGACAAAGGCTTTGTTTATATAACCTGTTTCTACTGCTTACATGTGCCAAACTTTTATTTAACTTCTCCACTTAGTTTCATTGCTGGGTTCTTTTAGCAGCACTGATAGGTTTCAAGGTCTTGTTTTAGGATAACTACTTTAAAATTTTAAGAATCTATATTATAAATTGTATGTTACAAAGATATAAAATATCTTTGTCATTTTTAAATCAAAAGTATATTTGTTTGATGAATCATTTATAGATGAAGAAATAGAAAATTAGAAAGCTCTTTAAGGCATCTATCAGGCCAGACAAGTAAGCTGCAAATTGTCTCCAGGCTTAGAGCCAATATATTTTGCCCTGCACTATTTGAGTTAACTTCATTTTTCATTCCAGTTTCAATATTTGATATTTTACTTTTGGTTATTTCTACTATATTGAAGGAAATTTGGAATATATTCAATTTTATCAGGCGATTAGGCAGGGAACTACTCATCACACCATGTTACTTCAAAGTTCAAAGTTATTTCAAGCCTGTCATGTGAAATTAGTATTTTTGAACTCTCAATATGGTTCAGGCAGTGTAGGAGACACCTTGATGTTTAATCCTCAAAAAAAGTGTTAAAGTAGTGGCAGTATTATCTCACTTTTCAGAAATAAAGATAATAGGATGAATCATAGGAAGAAAAATAAGAAAAGTACAGCCAAGAGTAGTTAACTACTCAAAATACATGCTGTGCTATATTTTCTAGAGAGGAGGTTACAGGTTTATCTGTAAACATCCTAGTAACTAACACAAGGGAGGAATGATCCTATCAATTATACAATTTATTATGTTTAAGAGAACTCAGTTACTCAAGAGAAATATAACTATACCTCTTTTTAAAAGTAGGAGAGAACTTTTCACAATGAGGACTTTGCCTAAGATAGCAGCATTCTCTGTATATAGTAATAAGAACTGTGAGTCTGCTGGCTTAAGGCCAAATTGCACAATTCTTCTCCAATAAAGCAAGAAAAAGTTCTGTTTAGAGAAATCCAAGGAAAAACTTTTGGAATATCAAAAGGATATCAGTAAAATGTAAATATAGGAGATACGTACTTTGCTAACTGTTAAACTGCAGGCCACTCACATTAGTTCACACTTGTAATCCTAACACTTTGGGAGGCCAGAGTGGGAGGATAGCTTGAACTCAGGAATTTGAAAGCAGCCTGACCAAGAGTGACACCCCATTTCTACTAAAAATAGAAAAAACAAATGGGGCACCTGTAGTAGTCTCAGCTACTCAGGAGGATGAGACAGGAGGATCTCTTGAGCCCAAGAGTTTGAGGTTGCTGTGAGCTAGACTAATGCCACAGCACTGAAGAAGGTGAAACTCTGTCTCAAAAGAAAAAAAAAAGTTAAACTGGGCGGGCCCTGTGGCTCAAAGGAGTAGGGCACCGGCCCCATATGCCAGAGGTGGTGGGTTCAAACCCAGCCCTGGCCAAAAACTGCAAAAAAGAGAAAAAAATTATTAAATGGCAAATTCCCAGTGTGTACCTAGATGATGAATATTGTTTGCTTGTTCAGTTAGGTATCTGTGCTTTATGTTTTTGTTGAATTGGGATTTAGGTGGTTACGTAAAATTTAAGTTGCAAAACTTAAGAGTTTAACCCAGATCATCTTGGTTCCATTATAATACTCTGCTTTCTTGTCAATATATCCAGTCTAGTTATGCGAACAATTTAACTACAGTATTTTGAGAAACCACCTCTAATCAAAGATAGGACATAGAATCTTGGTTAGGAGTATCAGTCACTCTT